CTGTTAGCGTAACACACCCGCTTTAAGGACACTGACTGCTATTCAATCTATAACAGTGGAAAAAGTGTTTTTGTTTTTAAATCCAAGCTATTGTGACACCAGATCTAAGTGGTGGCACTGGTCACCGTATCCACTGTTAGCGTAACACACCCGCTTTAAGGACACTGACTGCTATTCAATCTATAACAGTGAAAAAAGTGTTTTTTGTTTTTAAATCCAAGCTTTGTGTCACCAGATCTAAGTGGTGGTAATGGTCACCGTATCCACTGTTAGCGTAACACACCCGCTTTAAGGATACTGACTGCTATTCAATCTATAACAGTGAAAAAAGTGGTTTGTTTTTTTTAAATACAAGCTTTGTGTCACCAGATCTAAGTGGTGGCAATGGTCACCGTATCCACCGTTAGCGTAACATACCCGCTTTAAGGACACTGACTGCTATACAATCTATAACAGTGAAAAAAGTGTTTTTTGTTTTTAAATACAAGCTTTGTGTCACCAGATCTAAGTGGTGGCACTGGTCACCGTATCCACTGTTAGCGTAACACACCCGCTTTAAGGACACTGACTGCCATTCAATCTATAACAGTGAAAAAAGTGTTTTTTGTTTTTAAATCCAAGCTTTGTGTCACCAGATCTAAGTGGCACTGGTCACCGTATCCACTGTTAGCGTAACACACCCGCTTTAAGGACACTAACTGCTATTCAATCTATAACAGTGAAAAAAGTTTTTTGTTTTTAAATCCAAGCTTTGTGTCACCAGATCTAAGTGGTGGCAATGGTCACCGTATCCACTGTTAGCGTAACACACCCGCTTTAAGGACACCGACTGCTATTCAATCTATAACAGTGAAAAAAGTGTTTTGTTTTTTTAAATCCAAGCTTTGTGTCACCAGATCTAATTGGTGGCACTGGTCACCGTATCCACTGTTAGCGTAACACACCTGCTTGAAGATAACTAACTGCTATTCAATCTATAACAGTGAAAAAAGTGTTGCTTTTTTTAAATCCAAGCTTTGTGTCACCAGATCTAAATGGTGGCACTGGTCACCGTATCCACTGTTAGCGTAACACACCCGCTTTAAGGACACTGACTGCTATTCAATCTATAACAGTGAAAAAGTGTTTTTTGTTTTTAAATACAAGCTTTGTGTCACCAGATCTAAGTGGTGGCACTGGTCACCGTATCCACTGTTAGCGTAACACACCCGCTTTAAGGACACTGACTGCTATTCAATCTATAACAGTGAAAAAAGTTTTTTGTTTTTAAATGCAAGCTATTATGACACCAGTGAGTGGTGGCACTGGGCACCGTATCCACTGTTAGCGTAACACACCCGCTTTAAGGACACTGACCGCTATTCAATCTATAACAGTAAAAAAAGTTTTTTGTTTTTAAATCCAAGCTATTGTGACACAGGATCTAATTAGTGGCACTTGTCAGCGTATCCACTGTTAGCGTAACACACCCGCTTAAGGACACTGACTGCTATTCAATCTATAACAGTGAAAAAAGATTATTTTTTTTTTAAATCCAAACTATTGTGACACCAGATCTAATTAGTGGCACTTGTCAGCGTATCCACTGTTAGCGTAACACACCCGCTTTAAGGACACTGACTGCTATTCAATCTATAACAGTGAAAAAAGTGTTTTTGTTTTTTTAAATCCAAGCTTTGTGTCACCAGATCTAATTGGTGGCACTGGTCAGCGTATCCACTGTTAGCGCAACACACCCGCTTTAAGGACACTAACTGCTATTCAATCTATAACAGTGAAAAAAGAGTTTTGTTTTTTTAAATCCAAGCTATTGTGACACCAGATCTAATTAGTGGCACTGGTCAGCGTATCCACTGTTAGCGTAACACACCCGCTTTAAGGACACTGACTGCTATTCAATTTATAACAGTGAAAAAAGTGTTTTTTGTTTTTAAATACAAGCTTTGTGTCACCAGATCTAAGTGGTGGCACTGGTCACCGTATCCACTGTTAGCGTAACATACCCGCTTTAAGGACACTGACTGCTATTCAATCTATAACAGTGATAAAAGTGTTTTTTGTTTTTAAATACAAGCTTTGTGTCACCAGATCTAAGTGGAGGCACTGGTCACCGTATCCACTGTTAGCGTAACACACCCGCTTTAAGGACACTGACTGCTATTCAATCTATAACAGTGAAAAAAGTGGTTTGTTTTTTTAAATACAAGCTTTGTGTCACCAGATCTAAGTGGTGGCACTGGTCACCGTATCCACTGTTAGCGTAACACACCCGCTTTAAGGACACTGACTGCTATTCAATCTATACCAGTGAAAAAGTTTTTTGTTTTTAAATCCAAGCTTTGTGTCACCAGATCTAAGTGGTGGCACTGGTCACCGTATCCACTGTTAGCGTAACACACCCGCTTTAAGGACACTGACTGCTATTCAATCTATAACAGTGAAAAGTGTTTTGTTTTTTTAAATCCAAGCTATTGTGACACCAGATCTAAGTGGTGGCACTGGTCACCGTATCCACTGTTAGCGTAACACACCCGCTTTAAGGACACTGACTGCTATTCAATCTATAACAGTAAAAAAAGTGGTTTGTTTTTTTTAAATACAAGCTTTGTGTCACCAGATCTAAGTGATGGCAATGGTCACCGTATCCACTGTTTTTTTTTTTATCAATATCTTTTTATTATGAGAAGAAGAGAAAGGAGTGCAGACAAATTCAAATTTGTAACAGTATACAAAAAGTTACATACATAACAGCAGTAGTCACAATACATTGCATAGCATTCCCTAGCCATTATTGGACTCCCTTCTACCGGTATGTTTTATTATTATTGTGTGAAAGACCCCCTAACTGGGCCGTGGACAAAGGAGGGAACCATTTCGTGGTCTGGAGTTTATCACTTAATGCTAGTTATAGGGCTCTCGCCCAGTGGGTTATAATAGGTTCTGACTAACATTTTACATTCGCCTTTTCCATATGTTCGTAACGTCTCAACCTGTCTCTTTATGTGTGAGCTGCACCCATGAGGAGCAGAATAGTGTGTATCACTGAATATTTGAGTAAAAATGAAGGGCGAGGAGGGGAAGAGAGGAGGGGAGGGAGAGAAGGGATGGGGCATGACTTGGTTATCTAGATTTATGCCTATCGTATAGCGTCCGGGTGAGGTAAGAGTAGGTTCTATGCCTTCTCGTAAGATGTTGTGCTCTGCACAACAGGTAACGAGCGCACTGTCACTGGACTACATGAACATACATCATGGCCTCCGTTTTCATTCGGGTATGTGTGCTGGGGTCTAATAGGACAGTTAACCATTCATTGGCGGTGATTGAGATATATGGCCAAACGAGGTGTAGAGTGGGGAGGGTAGCAAAGATGTACCCATGCTACTGAAGGTGTGAGTGGAGTTAGGGTCATAAAATTGGAGTATGCACATCGGCCCTGCCCCGGGGAAGCCCGAGCCCCCGCGCGCATCGTCGGGCCATCGCCCTACTCCCCCGTGTTTCGTGACATGAAGGTGAACCATGGAAACCACCGTTCGGCATGTTTGTCCCCTCTATCCTGCAGGGATGCCTGCAGTGCTTCAGCTCCTTGGATATCCTCGACCCTGCGGATCCAGTCCTCTTCATTGGGTATCTCCATCCGTTTCCAATATAAAGGGATGAGCGACTTAGCCGCGTTCAAAAGATGTCTGAGAATTGATTTCTTATAGGGAGATATCGGCATCTTCGATATATGTAGGAGGGCCAGAGCGGCCGACCATTCCGTCCCTTCGCCCAATATATCTGTTATACGTTGTTTGATCAGATCCCAGAATGGGGTTATTGCACTACACTCCCACCAGATATGCATTATCGTCCCTCTATCCCTTTGGCATCTCCAGCATGTAGGTGCAACAGATGGGAAGATCCTATGTAGGAGAACCGGGGTCCGATACCACGAGGCGATCAATTTATAATTCGTTTCTTGATATTGAGAGCTAACCGAGCTCTTGTGTTGCCACAAAAGTGCCTTATCCCATTGTTGCGGTGTAAAGGTTGTGTCCATCCGCTCCTCCCACTCCCTGCGGAACACAGTATTCACGGTCAGATGCCCCGTCAAAATGTGTTGATAGAGTATAGAGATAGCATTGTCTAATACGACCTTCCTCTCGCAGCAGTCCTCGAACCAAGTGCGGTCCCTATGCAGTTGTTCCTTGTCCCGCAGTTTATTGTGGTAGTGCTTCACCTGTAGGTAACGGAGCATTGCCAGTGGTGTCCTTGGTCGTCCCTCTAATAGGGTATCCACAGAGCGCAACGATCCGTCTTGTAGGATTGTGTGGATCGGAACATACTCACGTCCTTCCAGAAAAGGCCACATCACCGGTGGAAACCCGCCCCCGATCTCTTTGTTATGCCCCAAATGTAATTTTTAGCACAAAAAAAATGTGAATTAGTCAAACTGCTATGTCACAGCAGTATTTGACGGTTCTATTTGACTCTCAGATATGAAGTGCACACCCCAAATTTACTTTTTAGCACCAAAGAAATGTGAATTTTTCAAAGTGTGATGTAACCACAGTATTTGATGGTTCTATTTCACTCTCAGATATGAAGTGCTCACCCCAAATTTACTTTTTAGCACCAAAAAAATGTGAATTAGTCAAACTGCAATGTCACAGCAGTATTTGACGGTCCTATTTGACTCTCAGATATGAAGTGCACGCCCCAAATTTAATTTTTAGCACCAAAAAAATTTGAATTTTCAAACTGCTATGTCACAGCAGTATTTGACGGTTCTATTTGACTCTCAGATATGAAGTGCACGCCCCAAATTTACTTTTTAGCACCAAAAAAATTTGAATTTGTCAAACTGCAATGTCACAGCAGTATTTAAAAAATATTATTATTATTATTAGTATTATTATTATGATATTTATAGGGCGCCGTCAAATTCCACAGCGCTTTACAATGGGTGGAAGAACAGACATGTAGTTGTAACCAGACAAGTTGGACACACAGGAACAGAGGGGTTGAGGGCCCTGCTCAATGAGCTTACATGCTAGAGGGAGTGGGTTAAAATCACACAAAAAGGTAAGGGTAGTATTAGACTAATGACAGTTGCAGAAGAGGAATCAGTCAGGAGCTATTAACAGTTTAACGGATACGCTTTTATGAAGATGTGGGTTTTTAAAGATTTTTTGAAGGAGTGGAGACTGGGTGAGCATCTAACGGAGGAGGGAAGCGAGTTCCACAGGAACGGTGCAGCCCTCGAGAAATCTTGAAGGCGAGCATCAGAGGTGGGAGTACGGACAGAAGATAGACGTACGTCTTTAGTAGATCGTAAGGGCCTAGACGGGACATACTTGTGTATAAGGGAGGATAGATAGGTGGGAGCAGCATCAGGGGCGTACCTAGAGCATTTGGCACCCGGGGCGGATCCTGTGCTTGGCATCCCCCCCCCCCCAAAAAAAAACCTGTGCAAAATTTTAAAGGTTCTCTTTTTTTTTTACAATTTGTAAACTTTGCAAAACCGCTGTCAGCCCCTCCTACAAAACCCTTGTCCTGTCCTGCCCCTCCTACAAAACCTCTGTCCTGTCCCTTCTACAAATCCTGTACTGCCTCGTCTACAAAACCCCCGCAACCCCCTTCCACAAATCCCCTGCTTATCCCCCTTATAAAGACTCCTGTCCCAATACAAAACCCCCGCCCCCTTCTACAAAATCCCTGCAGCCCCACACACACATTTACAGGCAGACAGTCACACACTCAGTTACAGACAGTCACACACTCAGTTACAGGCAGACAGTCACATACAGTCACAGGCAGACAGTCACATACAGTCACAGGCAGACAGTCACACATACACATTTCCTCCGTGCGGCCAGTTTATCAGCTGTTTGCTTGTGTGAGCTGTACTGGCCGCACCCTAACTACCATGGGACACTGTGCGGCCACAGCTCACACAGCCCCCTCCAGCCAGGGCCGGTGCAAGGATTTTTGCCGCCCTAGGCAAAAGTAAAGTCTGCTGGCACCCGGGGCGGACCGCCCCCCCCCCCCTTAGTACGCCACTGAGCAGCATTATGTAGAGATTTGAAAGCAAGAACCAGAATTTTAAATTGAGCTCTATATTTTATAGGAAGCCAATGTAGGGATTGACAGAAGGGTGAGGCATAGGAGGTGCGTGCGGACAGGAAGATGAGCCTCGCCGCCGCATTCATTATGGACTGTAACTGCGCTAGCTGGGAGCACGTAAGACCACTGAGAAGCGGATTACAGTAGTGAAGGCGAGAAAGGACAGTGGAATGGACCAACACCTTAGTCGCATCTGGCATTAAGTAGGGGCGGATGCGCGCAATGTTTTTTAGATGGAAATGCCAGGATTTGGCGATAGATTGAACATCAGGCTTGAAGGAGAGGTTGGAGTCAAAGAGAACACCTAGGCAGCGAGCCTGCGTGGTGGAGCTGATGGTAGCACCGTTGAATTTCAGTTTTGGTCAAGTTTAGTATAAGGAAGTGGGTAGCCATCCAGTTAGAAACAGCAGAGAGGCAGTCAGAGACACTAGTCAAGAGGGATGGGGAGAGATCAGGAGAGGACAGGTAGATTTGCGTGCCATCTGCATAGAAATGATATTGGAAGCCAAATAGCTAATGAGTTTACCAAGGGAAGCAGTATAGATGGAGAACAGTAGGGGACCAAGGACTGAACCTTGGGGGACACCAACAGAGAGGAGTTGGGGAGAAGAAGCAGAGCCAGAGAAAGAAACACTGAAAGAGTGCTGGGAGAGGTAGGAGGAGCACCAGGAGAGAGCAGTATCTTGTAGACCGATATTGCGGAGGATGAGAAGAAGCTGGACAGGTCAAGGAGAATTAAGATAGAGTAGTGACCACGAGATTTTGCAGCAAGTAGATCATTGGATACTTTGGTCAGTGCCGTTTCCACAGAGTACTTAGCGCGGAAACCAGACTGAAGCGGGTCTAGCAGAGAGTTGGACTCGAGGAAGTCTGTCAATCTCGCATACACAATTTTTCAAGGATCTTGGATGCAAAAGGCAGTAGCGAGATAGGACGATAGTTGGATGGGGAGTTAGGGTCAAGATTGGGCTTCTTTAGAATTGGGGTTACAGTTGCATGTTTGAAGGGCAATGGAAATACACCAGAGGAGAGAGAGAGATTGAGAATTTTAGTGAGAGGTAGAGAAAGAGAAAAAGACAGAGTACGGTTGAGATGCGATGGAATTGGATCTAGGGAGCAGGTGGTGGGGCAGGAGGACTGGAGCAGAGCAGAAACCTCTTCCAATGTAGCGGGTGCGAATGAACATAGAACAGCAGAGGGAGTGAAGTTAGGGGAAGTATTATAAGGGGAAGAAGAAAGATGAGATATCTTGTCAGTGAAGTGAGTTGCAAAGTCTGAGGCGGTCAAGTTAGTAGGTGGAGGAGGAACAGCAGGGCGAAGAAGAGAGTTAAATGTGTGAAATAGTGGTTTGGGTTCGCCGGAGAGTGGGGTTATGAGGGTATTGAAGTAATTAACTAGTAATGCCTAGATGTTGCCCACTGAGCTACCAGAACAGGATTAAAGTAATGTGCCTGGCACACATGCAGTTGCAAATGCCCACCTAACAAACAGACTGATTGCTTATTTCTCTGTGGCTCAGGGCAGGGTACAAAAATGTAGTATAGTACCCACAAAATTAATTGCTGTAGTTTGCAGATTCAACACCAGAATTCTTTCCTAATCTGTCCCTCACAGCTGCAGCATCCTCTGCCTACACTAATAAGAGCTCATGTGACTCCAGCTTATATAGAGGCTGGATCACATGCTGCACTGGCCAATCACAGCCATGCCATTAGTAGGCATGGCTGTGATGGCTTCTAAGGGCACACAAGTCAAACGCTTGTTGATTGGCTGCCCTGCAGCTTTTCAAAACGCGCCATTAAATCTGTTACTGAAATGTCTGGGTTCTGGTTCGGGGTCCAAAAATCGTAATGTTCGGTACGAACCCGAACTTTACAGTTTGGGTTCGCTCAACTCTACTAGAAACCTTTTTCTTTTTTTTCTAAATACGAGTTTGTGGTTACCTTGCTAAGAAATGTAGTGCTTTCATGTTTGTGTTATTAAATTTGCTTGAAGGCAGTACATATTTCAGGCTCAAAAAATGTAAGTGCACTTTTCTGTTTTCAGTTTGACAGGTTAAAGGTTTTGGCTCCAAAGGCACATGGTACAGAGTTTCCAGAATTCCAGAATCCTTTTGGGAATACATTTCAAATAAATTGGTGATTATTTAAAGAATGCATTGGCACCATTCACTTGGTTTGGCTATGTTTAGTAGATTAAATTAGTAAGTCAAAAATGGTTCTTGAAGGTAGAAGTCAATTGGTCCAAATTTTTCCTTTAGAGGACAAAGTTGTTTGTCCAGTAATCTTGGTTCGGGAATCTATGTTATTACGATCTAATTTGAATGGCCATTTCTTAATGCATTCATCTGCTTTACGTCTCTTACCTCAGCTATCTTAAAGCTAGAAACATCATGGAATGCCACCTAGAGAGAGCAATTCTGGAGTTCTACAAGCCATCTAATCAGCAGGAGAATACTAATGGTTTCCTGGTAACTGAAACATGTTTAGAACAATGCATTCATTTCCATGTTTATTTTGCAAGTTAAATCTTATATTATATTATGTTTCCTTACCAGGGCCGTCTTTAACGCGGGGCAAACGGGGCAGCTGCCCCGGGCCCAGTTTCTCTTGGGGGGCCCGAGGCACCTGCCCCGTGGGCCCCGCTGCCCTCATCAATTAATTTTTTTCCCGTCCCACCGGGTGGCCCATGCACTTAGGGCAGTGACGTACATACCAGGGTCGCGGCTGCGCCCCTGGTATGTAGCCACAGGGCCAGCCTCTTCCCCTGGGGGGGCCCAGGAGGCAGCCACCCCAGGGCCCCCCGAGGCTGGCCCTGCTGACCCCGGCGGGCGGGCGGGCGGGCGGGTGGCCGGTCGGGCAGGAAGGCGGGCGCGCGAGGGAGCACTCACTGCTTCCTCTTCAGCTCCCTCGCGCACCGCACTGATGCCGGAGCCGGAAGATGACGCCATCTTCCGGCGCCGGCATCCCTACGCGGCGCGCGAGGGAGCTGAAGAGGAAGCAGTGAGTGCTCCCTCGCGCGCCCGCCTTCCTGCCCGACCGGCCACCCGCCCGCCGGGGTCAGCAGGGCCACTGGACCCCAGGGAATCCCCCCAGCACTCCAAAAGGTAAGGAGGCTGGGGGGATTACATTTAAAAAA